CGAAGCCGTGATCGAGACAAGACGAGGACACGAACACCCGATCCTTCATCAACGCGGCCGTGCGCATAGCGCACGCACACCACTAGTAACCACCGGCCAACATTAGATTATGCAATGCTTAGCACTATGATCAAGTTAAGTAATCTTGTCCCAACTCCTTAGTGATGCCGTGAGAAATTTACCCAAGATAAGTGTTGGGTGCAAGTGGTGACCATGAGTCACCTACTTGCTTGGCACACATGGCACCACATGAAGCTACAAGTAGTGACTAAGCCCATGCATAGGACGCCACCTAGCACTTCCCATGCCACATAGGGTGATGACAATGCAGCCATATTGCCACCAACTCGTGTGGTAAAAGCAAGTGGACCAATGAGTGTTTGGTCCCAAATTCACCTCCATCCATCTCCAGTATTTAATGAAGTAAAATGCATGAGTTTTCCCCATGCAATCTCGTACAAAGCAAGCCAAACTTCAGCCTAAAAACTGAGAGAAAATAGTGAGGAAAATATCATAGAAAAATTGTAGAAAAATAGCTAAGGGTTGCCGAAGCAAAGGAGAAGCACACGCACACCTAACCGAGTACTAAACTCGCACGCAAGTCATCGAGCACTCTTCGTCCGAACTGAAGGATTGATAAGCAGCAACACTTACATTGTCAGCTCAGGTGGGAACTCAGACTGGGTATTACATTGGTTATAATTTCTCTATCATATTTTAAGGTATGTATATGAGTTATCCACTTGGGGTGGAGGCGCAGTAGCCTTAATAGGCAATCCTGAGTTTTAGTGGAGGCGCAGTAGCCTTAATAGGCCATCAGAGTGTGCACATGGACGGACATAGTGTCCGAGGAGGTTCAGTTCAGTTACCGACCCAGTGTCGGGAGATTACAGTTACTTATATATACCTGCAGTCATGATATTGATATTATTATTACTGTTTACTTTTGTATGAGTTTCTGCGGATCACAGTGACTTTAGTGCTCACGCTCCCACTATTATTATCTTTTTCAGGTGACAGGGTCGGTCCGGAGGAGTGAGCAAAGCTGGTGGTCGCCGGTGCAGTACATATATATATGTATATGTTTTTGCAGACTTATGATATGTATATTATTTGACACGCTTTTACCTCCGCTGACGTTTTCAGACTTTCAAACTAGCGTGTTATTTTTAAGACGTCGATCCGAGCCTTCGGGTCAGATTTTTATACAGCATCACACTCTTGTTTGATAACGATAATCCGTTTTGCATAAACAAATTTAAATTAGCAAAGATAACGAATTTTTAGAAAAGAAATGTTTTTACGTAACATCCCAAGTAATGTTATCGCAAACTAAAACGTATTTTTAGAAAAGAATTTGCGAAAATCGCACTCTGATTTTAGTAAGCTAGCGGGGTGTTACACCCGTCATGTCCAGCCAGCGCCTGTGTGTGCATTCATGCATCCAGTCATCTGTCGCGGTACCGCGCCCGACAGCGTTCAGTGGCGCAAGTGCCAACGCATATAGCGCTCGGCAGCGGCCCAGTTACGTCCAGTCGCACGCCAGTCGTGCTAGCAAGAGTCAGGCCGTACCCCTTGCTGCTCAGCAAGGCTTGCAGCAGCTTCATGCCGCGCCCAGTCAAGGCAGCGCCCGCGCCCGCGGCCTCAGCAGGCTGGTTGGCCGAGCCAGC